CATTTCCATGTGCTAGGAGCATTCAGAAGCTTCTACTGGTACAGAGTGTGGCAGCGAAGGCAATTCTTGGGGCCCATACAGTGGCCAATGTAACATCACTACTATGAACTGCCTGGCAGCTGGTTGGCTTCCAGGTGCAATTCAAGGTGTTGGTTATTATCTTTAAATCCCTGTATGTGATTTAACCTGGCATGAGTCCAGGTTATTTGATGAACTGTCTAACCCCATTGGAACAGGCTCACCCCACCCGCACTGGCAGAGGAGGTATGCTATGGACCCCATCAGTCAGTCAATCAGTCAAGAAATTCCAGTTGGCAGGATCCAGGAGAAGAGTCTTATCTGCTGTGTTTCCTGCCCTTTGGAACATTGTGCCACTTGAGATAAGATTGGCTCCCTCTCTTCTAACCTTTAAGGGCCAGAAGACCTTGCTCTCCCCCAGGTCCCAACAGGGGAGCATCACACTGGAGGTGATTGATGTATTAAGAGGCACTCCCACCTTCCCACTTGCACATCCTGTTCCTTCCCTCCTGATTTTTAACTATAATTCTATTTTTTATAGTAGTTTCCATTTTTCTTGTCTTAGAAATACTTTTTTTTATGATTTCAATGCTTTTTATGCTTTAAGCCGTCCAGAGTCACTTTGAAACGAGATGGGCAGCAAATAAATTTAATAAATAAATGTTTGTGTTTTTCCTTTCAGTCTAGTGATATATAGGCCTAATAGAACCACTTTAATTCGTATGACGGGCATGGTAGTAGTTAAAACAGTTTGCATATAAATCTTTTTTAAAAACATGAATTGACACAATTGTTATTTATTTATTTATTTATGAGACTTATATACCGCTTTAAGTGCAAGCACACTCTAAGCGGTGTACACCAGTAAGCAATGTATATATATATATATATATTTACATTGCCCCCAACAATCTGGGTCTTCATTTTACCTACCTCGGAAGGATGGAAGGCTGAGTCAACCTTGAGCCGGTGAGATTTGAACCGCTGACCTGCTGAACACAGTCAGCTAAAGTGGCCTGCAGTACTGCACTCTAACTGCTGCGCCACCTCAGCTCTTATTATTATTCCTTTGTTTGCATCCACTTTCTTCTACAGGTAATCCCCAAGTTACAAACGTTCACTTAATGCTCGTTCAAAGTTACGTGGTGAGTGCCCCCTAGTGCTTATGAGCAAGTCCCGAAGTGATGAATATTGCAGCACCATGGCAGTCGTTTGGGCTACGTCTTCCGTGTTTGGTTTCGCACCGCTGGGGGACCCTGGAAAGGGTCGAAAGTCACCCTGTAGGGGCAACAAGCGAGGGGACCCCTGTTTGATCGAGGGAGGCCGATAGCCCTCCCGCTCGATCCGGGACAGTCCTCCAAACCGGCGGACGAAAGACCAGCCATAGAAATATGGCCTGTCACTAGGTTGCAGACAGCCGAAGTCAAACTTACCACCAGGCACTTCTAAAGCAGTGTGGATGAGACTTGGTGAGATCTGAACCTCTCTTCAATCCTAATTATTTTTTCTATCTGTATAAGCTGCCCAAAGTATTTTTTCCCCTGTGGAGAGAGGGAAGGGAAATTCTATCCCACTCTCTAAGAACAGCGGCGACTGACTATCCAGGGGAGTTTAAAACGCTGAAAGAATAACTTTATTTTAACTGGATTTCTATGTTTCTAAAATTTGGAGACCAAAAGATTTCTTATCCTTACTGAAGATTTGGGTTTTTACTTACAAAAAAAGAAGTAAAATTGGGAAAAGGATTATAAAAATTTTGGACTTAAAAAAACCTTAAACAGCACTGGTGACATCTTGTGGCTAAACCTGATATTACAACTTGTTATTGTCTAAAAGAGACTTGGCTTGAAGCCCAGCCTATAGATAAGACTTTTTCAACCTTGGCAGATATCAGCTGTGAGAAGCTCAGCTGTGTTCTGTACTCAGTGACAAAATTATTTTCATTCTCTGATTGTAAAGCTTTCAATTTAACATACCACTAAGAGAACATGGATGAAGATCAGGAACAGATTCTATGCTGAAAGCAATTCATGAAACCATTCTTACAGCTTCTGATGAAATAAAACACTACAGAAAAGAACAAGATGTCAGCCTAGATATCCGAACCCAAACTTTTGACTACAATTAAAGAATCAACTACACAGAACATAACACAAGAAGTGGAACAATCAAATATCATGACAGAGGATTCAACTGATAAAAAATACAGTTAATGGAAAACCCAGAAAAGGGACTGACAACACTGAAAATGGAGAAGACTTTCTATATAAACCAGAAGAAACTTGAGCAACAAGAAGAACAGACCGAAGGGAAGATAAATATTTCAGGACAACTATGGGGAGATGGAATAATAGACAATTTGCTATCCCTCCCAAAAAAATGGCGATTGGATGGTCTCTTTTATCTCAAATAATGTATACAATTACAGAGAGATCTATTTGATAACTTAAAAGCACAGAAATGAGTTGGCAAAGAAAGAAAGCTAGAATAAGGCTGAAAAAAATTGGGGTTTTGATTTATTAGTGAGGATTTTATGTTACTAATCAAAATAAAATATAATCAGACAAGATGTGTATTTTGAATACTAGATTTTGCTATGAATTGAGATAAAGAAAACTGGTCATTTAAAACTTGGAAGTATAAATATTAAAAGTTAAATTTGAATATTGATGGGAAATTAAAAATTGGGAAAACAAATAAATAGGATATTGTCTATAAAGATTGAATGTAAAAGTAATTAAGATATATATAAGCTAAAAATCTATTCATGAATGTAATAAACATGTTTTTACTCAGTTGATATAAGAATTGTATTAGCTTAAATATGAGATAGACATTAAGAGAAAAAGAGGAAGTATTTGATGTTGAAATAGGGGAAATTTTGGTCATTAAATTTAAGACATTTGAAAATTAGTAGAAAATAAGAATGTTATACTATATTATTAACTAGATGATGTAAGATGGTGAGAAATAGAATATACTCAAATAGATAAGATGTGTATCTTGAATATTAGACTTTTGATGAATTGTGATAAAGGAAACTTTGGTTACCTAAAACTTGGAAATTATAAATATTAAATGTTAAATTTAAATATTGATTTAAAAATTGTGAAAAACTAATGACAGGACATTGATTGTCTATAAAGACTGAATGTTTAAAGTAACTAGGATATGTATAAGCTAAAATTATTGATAAATGTAACTGTTATTTTTACTTAATTGATATAATAAGAATTGTATTAGTTTAAACATGAGACAGTAAATATTAAGGGAAAAAGAGAAGAAATATTTAATGTGGTAGTTTGAGACTTGTACTAAAGATACTTGTATGTTATTGAATTATCGATTAACCCAGTCGCCACACTGCTTTTTAAATACTTAAATGTAAAATTAGAAAATTAATAAAACATTTTTAAAAAGATCAAGATCCTTCACTTTCTTGGCTGCTCTAGGCCTTTGGAGCGTTTGCTGAGAATGGAGGCCTAAAGTAACGTACGATCACGTGAGATCAGTGGGGCGAGATCTCACGCTACTGATCTCATGTGAGCTCATGGTACTTTAGGCCTCTGTTCTCTGTAACAGAATGGAACCAAAGCTGGTGGATGCTTCCACGTGCCTCTGGAGGTTGGATCGGGGCTCTGGAGGCTTTTTCTAGGCTGCTGCCGCCTGGATTTGAGGCCAGGGAATGCTTCCGCGTACCCCCCACGGTCCGATCTGGGCTCCAGAGGCCTTTTCCAGGCCCGATCGGGCCGCAGGGGTCCGTGGAAGCGTTCCCTGGCCTCAAATCTCGGCGGCAGCAGGAACCACGGCAGAGAGGAGACGGATCTTTTCCAGGTGAGTCCGGCGTGGCAGGAAGGCAAGGGGGAAGTATGCAGTATTTTAGTGGGTCGGGGAGACCTTGGGGGCCTGTTCCAGCACTGGGCCCTCCATGGCCTTCCCCACCCTGAGATACCTCATGTTCGCTTAACAAGCCGTGTGCGTTTTAACGAGCAAGGGAGTGATCTCGTACCTCAAACGAGATTTACTCTACCAGTTTTCGAGTTACAAGTGGAATGGGCAAGCTCCATTACACTCATAACTTGAGGACTATCTGTATTCTGATTTTATATACACTCCAGGATAAGCTATCATGTGGAAACACCTCTGAGGGCTTAGCAGTGTGTGAATAAACTTATCAACATTAAAAAAGGCACATAATAAAATATAAAAAAGCAAATAATTAAGAATACATACAGATGCCTAGATTTGTAGATTCTGTTATGAAAGCTAAAAGTCAGAACAGATTAACAAAGGATGCTAGAGACAACAAAAATACATTTAAAATAATATAGAAAAAATGGTATTCCAGTAAAACAAATTACAAAATAATTTGGGGTAATAAATTTGGGGTATTCAGTTCCTATTTTAGCTCGATCTTTCTAGGAAGAGGTTATGTGTTCCACCAATTATGAAAAGCAAGATTCCAGCTAAAACGTATTAGAAATTTAGGGAATATATGCTAATCTTGAATATAGAGTTCCAGATTATATGGACTGTATCATATGTTCCTGATATCTCTCCTCTCTCCACATGCCCCTACTGCATTTCTGTCTGCCATTCAGATTCTGTCTTTCTCCTTTTTCTTTCCTGATCCTTTCCACTCCGTCTTTCCTGCATCTTTGGGTCATAGCACCTTTTTCTCTGAATTTCAATTTACTGTTTTAGCAAACCATGTGTTCCATGAAGAACCAAAAAGATGTCATTTTTCTCTTCTCCATTCTTCTTCCTATCCTCTGTTTTTTTCCTACAAATGAAGTGAACTGGTAGCCCTGAAAATGAGTGTTGTGAATTAATGGCATTCTTTACTCATGAAACATAAATTACAGCTATTTTTCTAATTTCTTTTGCAAAGGAGATAAGCAGAGAAATATATTTTGTGTATTTTGTAGAAAATTAAACTGAAGATAAACAGTGCTTTCTTTCAAAATGACAAATTCTCACTCTTGAGCCCAGTGATATATATTTGAGAAATCACCTCATAAAAGAAGTTCTTCAACAACATAAGTCTACACAAGTTTTTTTGTGCTAGGCTTGGGAGGGTTTTTTTTTTCTTTTCTCTTTTTTATACTGGGTATGATATGATGGGCTTACATATATTCCCAATTTCATAATGGACAGTTTTACATGAACAATTCACATTAGTGATTTTAATTTTTTCAGCTGCTAGACTTTATTTCATATGCTCATTTAAGATGGTTAAGATATTGTTCCATGATTTTCTTGAACTACTTGGGAATGAAGAAACTGGATATGGATACTTCATTTACATTTGGCATTAAAATTGATCTTCAGCTCTTCCCAACACTTGTAGTAATTCTTATCCAAGTTGGTTTTCAGCCCCCACTTGGTCACAGCCAAGCTAAAGGATGATTCAAACATGAAAGCCTGTTGGGAAAATAAATAAGACATATTGCAAGAGTAAGTAAATCAGTATTTGTTTGAATGAAGTGGACAAAAAAAAATACACTATTTTAACTGATTTGAATGATATTGCTATTTTGCTTTTATCATATGTTGGTGTTCATTTTATCATTTGGCTTGTTTTATATAATTTTGCAGAGAATTTAAATTCTAATATGAAATAAAACATTAGAAAAACTAGGAATTATTGAGCTGATTGTCAAAAATTTAGTTTATGAACAAATCCTAACTAAAATAAGTTTAGCAGGAAGTGCTACTGTGCAGTGAAATGGGTTATTCCATGAGCTCAGTGGATAATAAGCATTCATAATGAGAATTGCAAAGATTTGTAGTTTTGTAGCAGAGTTTAAAATTGTAACAGGAAATATTTTCTTTAATAAATTTGATGCTTAGAGTGTCTTAGTGTTTTACAGAAAAACTGATGGTTTTACATACAATCAGAGTTAAAGCCAGAAAAAATGAAATCAACTATTAAAACACTTTTTACAAATATGTATTTAGGGTCTTGTGAAAGAGCAAATCTTTGGTTTCCTCAGCTCAGCACAAAATGAGAAATATACGCAGATTTTCTCATTGGAACTCAGCAACTACCCGTGTTTCCATTCCATGCATACAGTTATTCTCTTCAGGGTTATCAACACAACTGCCATTTTCTATATTTTCCCCGTCTTAATATTCCAGTTAGTAATGAGATTATAAGCTATATTTAAAAAAATGTTTTCTGAGAAAAGGAAAGATTCCAACGTGGGCAGGAGGAATCCTTGCAGATTTTAATTATCGACTGTAAGGAGCGATGCTCATCTCTGTTTCAAGACCATTGAGCCATTATTGTCTGAAGACATTTCTGTGATCAAATAGCCAGCATGGCATCACGGAATGCTGTTACTTTCCCACCAAAGTGGCACCTATTTATCTACTCACATTTGCATGGTGGGCAGGAACTGGGGCAAGTAACAAGCTCACTCTGTCACATGGCGCTGAGACCCCGGTTTTCAGCTTACAAGCCGACAAGGTCAGCATCCTAACCACTGAGAGAGTGTGGGCAGCTGTCATGGCCCCATTGGAGTGCGGTTCAGAGGAGGAGGAAGAGTTGGAACCAGGACCGTCTAATGTGGATGACATGCCTCCTGATGCTGTTAGTCTTTGCCAGGAACAATAGTTTGTTTGGCTTATACTCCCCTGCCTTTGACTCATGTCTTTTGCCTCTTGCCTTGCCTTGCTTTGAGCACTGCCTTTTGCCTTGTATCTTGCTTTTGTCCTGAGGACTGCTTTTTGTCTTGTGCCTTGACAGTTGCCTCGTGGACTTGCTTAGATGGGTGGATTGGACTTGTGACAGGACATTGGAAGGCCATTTGTTGGAACATTTACTTAGAGCAATAAAAGATTCTCTAGAGGCCTGCCTTTCCTTGATCACCTGTGTCATAATAGTTTGTTCCTGGCCCAACAACTCCACCCCATCCAGTCTCTTGAGCAGGACATGGAATGCAGCAAGACAAGATGGAACAGCTCCTTGCCAATAGTGCTCATGTAGTTCAACAAGTGGTGCTCCTCTCCTCGCAACTTGCCCAGTTGCAAGCTGCTAGTTCCGCCCGGCCTTGCCACAAATGCCCTGTGGTAGTGCCAGATACATTTGATGGGACGTTTGCCCAATTCCTCACCTTTTTTGAGCAATGCCAGCTGTATATGAGCCTATGGCCAGAGGACTTTCCCATGGACTAGGACAAAGTGGGATTCCTGATTAGTTTCCTCATGGGGGGGGGTCTGGTTTTATACACAGCTGTGTATTATGTTGAGGATCTCTTAAAGGCACATACCGTGATTGGTGTTTGTGGGAGCTACGACTGGCATCGGCCAGTTGCAAATTACATCAGTGACTTCTGAGTGGTTAGCCAGGATGTCCAGTGGAACAAGGCCACTTTGATGGACGAGTTCCAGGAAGGGTCTATGCTGACTCACAGTGGCCAGGTGGGCATGGCTGGGTGGTCGCAGGTGGGTTGGCATGACTAGGTGGGTGTGGTTGAGTGGGTGTGGCCACCTTGGTGCAGCTGGCTCAATGCCGTTCACTAGGCATGGCTGACTGCTGGGCAGTCATTGGATTTACCCTCTAAGATCACTGACTACACCAATTGTTTGGGGAAAAGCAGGTGGACCAGTTGCCACATCTCCGCCCGTATGATTGCCCAATAGACCTGGTCGCAGATGCAAAATTGCCAGTGGGCTGGATTTACTCCCTTTCTAAACCCAAGTTGGTGGCTCTTTGGGAATTCTTGGATAAAAACCTGCTGGCGCTCAACATCTCCTTTGGCTGCTCCCATACTTTTTGTAAAGAAAAAATCCATGGAGGTAAGACTCTTGTGATTATCACAAACTGAACGGTGCTAAATCGGTACCCTCTGCTGTGGATTGTCAAGGTATAGAGGCTATGCCAGGCCCAGAATTCCACCATACTGGACCTGTGGGAAGCCTACAATTTGATCCGAATCAGAGTGGGGGAGTGGAAGAAGTCTTCAGGATATGTTATGGCCACATCGAATCCATGGTGATGTCCTTTGGCCTGACCAATGCTCCTGGGATCTTCATGCACTTCATGCAAAATGTGTCCTGGGTTCTGTTGGACTATTTTGTGGTCATCTACTTGGATGACATATTGGTCTACTCTCCTTCCCCAAGAGAGCACTGGAAGCACATCCGTTTGGTGTTACAGCAACTATGTGAGCATCAACTCTTCGCAGAGTGCGAAAAATGCCAATTTGCTTCCTGGGCCATTGCATCTCCCGAGGGCACAGAGATGGATCCTGAGAAATTGGAGGTGCTGTGGGTCTGGCATCCCCCACACTGGATGAAGGATGTGCAACTGCTCTTGGGCTTTCCAAACTATCATACGTTTGTTCCCTTGTTTGCCACCTTGACTGCATCCCTATCCAACCTGTTATGGAAGATGGTACAGTTCCACTGAGGCACTGCAGAGCAGGATGCCTCTGACACCATAAAAGCCACCTTCACCTCGGAGCCCATCCTGAAGCATCACAATCCAGTGTGCCCTTTTGTGGTGGAGACAGATGCATCGGATATTGCCATTTGGCCCATTCTCCTTCAAGCCTATATTTCCTTGGGTACCCTTTTCCCCTTGTATCTACTACTCCAGGAAGTTGTCCTCGGTGGAAAGGAACTACACAATATGGGACAAGGAACTGCTGGCCGTGAAGGTGGCCTTTGAGACCTGATGGCAACGTTTGGAGGGTGCTTAGCATCAAATTGAGATTTGAATGGATCATAGCAATCTGGAGCATTTGGAGATGGCTCAAACTCTGAACCAGCGACAGGTGTGATGGTCGTTCTTTTCATCCATTGACTTTATGATGATATATGTGCCAAACAGGTGCAACCAGCATGCAGACACATTGTTCCGCAAACCTGAGTATACCTGTAAGGAGGACAAGTTAGGGCCTCGCGTAGTCATTCTGTTGGAGTGCTTTGCAACCACCAAGGAACTGGTGAATTTGAGACCGCAGAACCAGGATTCGCAGCAGCAGGATCTATTTGTGGCTATATAATGCCGTGACTTGGCCCAAGTGTGGGGAATGAGGCAACCCCCTGGTCTTAAACATACTTTTCATTTCCAGGGCCACCTCTATGAACCACTCTATTGATGATGCACTTTCTTGTGTGTTTCATCTTAGTTTGGCGCACCTGGAGGAGAAAAATACTCATGTGCGAATGCTGTTTGTTGATTTTAGTTAGGTGCTCAACATAATCATTCCTCAGCATTTGGTGAGCAAACTGGGCCTATTAGGTTTTAATACTTCTTTACATAACTGGATACTTGACTTCCTTATTGATAGGTGTCAGTTTGTGCGAGTTGGAAGAAAATTTCCAATTCCATCTTTTTGAGTACAGATTCCCCATAGGGCTGTGTTATGAGTCCATTATTGTTCACCTTGATGACCCATGACTGCTGTGCCAAGTCTGCTACAAATCATATTGTGAAGTATGCAGATGACACAGCAGTGGTGGGTTTTATCCAAAATAATAACAAAGTTTTTTATAGGGAGGAGATAAAGGCTTTGGTGGACTAGTGCAGTAAAAATAACCTGGTTTTGAATGTTAATAAAACAAAGGAGATCATTGTTGATCTTAGAAAGAGCCGGCATAGTCATACTCCACTTCGTATCAAGGCTGCAGCTATGGAGTTCGTCAACAGTATTAAGTACCTGGGAGTGCAGATAACTAACAACCTGACTTGGTCTCTTCATACATTATTGTTGGAATATTCATGAACAGGAAGAGTCATGTGGTAACTCAGTCAGCCAATGAGAAGAAAGGGCTACTGAATCTGTGCAAAAAGAGTATTGAGTTAGGAACTGGATTTCCAGTCTCAAGGTTTTGTCTCTGGTCTGTCTCTGTAAGAAGTCTTCGTTAAGCTATGTTGCTGTAAAGAAGAATGGTATTGTAAATATTTTTATATAAATATAAAGTTATTTAAATCAGCTAAATGCAGTCAACTGTGAGAGCTTCTGATTTATTTTTCACCAATAGAGAAATTAAAATTCTCTAACAGGTTATGGGCCCAGAGCTTACTAAGGACTGCATTGTAATTTAAAGCTGGAAGAAATTACCTGTGTTTAGAAAGTTTAAGAACAAGGCAGAATTAGCAAAATGGCTGCAATGGAATTTAAAGAAAGCTGTGTGCCTCGTTTGGGCCAGAAGAATTACATTGTGTGGGCTGCAAAAATGGAATGTTTGCTGAAAGCAAAAGAGCTGTGGTATATTGTTGAAAATCCACCACAAGTGTTTGCAGCAGTTGATCAGAAAAATCATGATACAGCAATGGCTTATCTTATCTTGAATTTAGATGATGATCAATTTCTAAATGTTGCAATTTAAAGACTGCAAAGGAGATTTGGTTGAAGTTGAGAGCTGTGCATGTGAATGTTTCTGCATGCAATATAGTGCAATTGTCAAGA